GGTTTCAATAGCGTTTATCTTAAAAAGACAAGAAACATCATTAGGCGGACGAAGGGATGGACATATTTCATCATTACCCGAATCGATCGGTACAAGAGAAGTTGCGCCTATTTTGAGCCCTTCGTAGGTGTTACATAGGTTCGCACAAACTTAACACACCCTCTATCAGATAGTAGTGTAGTGTAGTGTAGTGCACACATCAAAGTCTACAACTAAAAACTTAAAACGTTAAGAGAAAACTCAAAATTGAAAAGTTTTCGGAAATAATAAAGCAAACGCAGTCTGCTTTGATTGTCCCGTATATATATATTTACTTATATATATATATATATATATGTATATTAACAATTGAAAACTTCGAAATTTTCATAAAAGAACAAATAAACTCTCTATTAATGGTTATTTTAAAATTTAGAAAATAAATTAAAAATTGAAAAAGCACACATTGTGTAACAATAATGTAATCAGGATGGAAAACTTCATAAGTCAAAAACATAAAGCGAGAAATTACGAAGAAGAGGCTTCCGAAAATAAATTGGTGAAACGCAAGCACAAACTGAAGAACTTTTTGAAAATGCTAATAGCAATGACATTTCATCCATTCCAAAAGAAGACTTTGCATCGATATCAACCTTCTCCAGTGATGCGAAAAAGGGAGAGGTCAAAATCAATATGATTACAAAAAAACAGAAAAAAAAAAAAATCAAAAATTAATATATATATATACGAACGAATACTTTCACGAGGAAACAATTCCAATATTTCGAAAATAATTCTTCAAAATTTGAAATTCTTATAAAAAGTTCAGATCAATTATACGAAAAGCAAAAACAATTAAAAATCGAAAAAGAATTAAATTCAAACACTCCGTCCCTGAGAGACTCTTTAAATATTGTGAATTAAAGGAAGCAGGAAAACGCGGCAATCGCATATAGCATCATTTTTAACTTTTCTATCTGGCGATACGGTCCAATTGAAACGTCTTAATGCGTTGCGTTTAAAAGACTTTTTTTTTAAAGAGTTATTTTCCAGAATTTAAAAACATCAATCTCGGCGATTATTCACTTTCCGATGCTTTCCGATAAACATGAAAACACAATTTAAATTTCATGTCTACTAATGTGGCGTTTTCACGTTTGGCCGAATGATAAATCATCGCGAATCCTTGGCATCAATCACGACAACATTAGCAATAGCAAGCATACGCATGTTGTTGTTATGATGATGAGCCAAGAAGTAAACGGTAAACATAATACATTGTTGAAAGATTGCATTATGCGGACTCGAAACACTACGAATACTTGTATAACAATCGCAATAGCTATCCGCAATTGACTTGCGAAACTCAACATTTCCAAGGATAATAATAATAATAATAATAATAACAATAATTGTGAGCGATGACGTTAGACTAACGATAGTATTCTGGCTGGTTCTTGCAAATCATGCTGTGGATGTCTGTCAAAAATTCGTTTGCAATTTTAGTCACACTATATATGTTTGCCCTTTTTTTTTTATTTTTATTTTTATTTTTTTTTTTTTTTTGCTTATAATAAATAAAAACTCTTTTCATAATTTAAGTTAATTAATATATAAATGTTTTTTAAAAGCATTAAACTTATCTGATCTGTTTGTGCAGCGGAATTTGTTTGATGAATAAATAAATAAACAAATGAGAGATTGTTAGGGAAAAGATTTTAAATACATTAAAGCAGATGAGAATTTCATCATGACAAGCGACCGCAAACCATCAAAACAGTGCAAAAATCATGCAAACAATTGAATCCAACTATGAATAAGTATCAAGTTATGTTTGGATGTGGACGAACCGTCCATATATCCTCAACGCAGTGTATCTTCAAAGGAACAAATACGAAAAAGTGAAATTTTGATGATCTATGAGATTGCGCGGATTTGATACGCTCTTACACAGATACCGTATATGGTATGGTATTATTTAGCGAGTTAGTTGTGGTTGTAATGACTGAAAAACCTAATTATTTGGTTTTTTTGCCCGGTTATGTTATGTCTGAAAAGCGGGCTTTTTCATCGATTTAACAAATGTTCAGTACCAAGCTGCGCACAACAACTTCCGATGCTTTTGTCAAATTTTTGGAGACGATTTTTGTGCTCAGGACCTGATTTGGCACAGATATTACACATGTGGACAGATGGAAATACTTAGACAGACATGTAGCTTGCGTTTGGTTGGATCTTCTTCTTTAGCGTTATATCTCGTACGATATAAGAGGGACTAATTGCAAAGTATAGGATGAAGAAAGTTCAGTGGGCGAAGTGCACTGAAAACATTGCATTCGATATGAGTTCCAGGAGAGCAGCAATGCGTTAGTTGTTTGTAAAAATTTATGTGATACGTTGCAAGTGTTCGCACTGCCAAAAATGGTTTGTCAACTTGCGTTCCGAAGATTTCTCTCTCCAAACGATAATGGCATTTTGCAGTCCATGTTGGAGAGTAATTGACATTCAATCACCTTGCAATTGCGAATAAACACGTCATCTGCCATTAGATTACTGAGTAACGCCTAAAGACTCTTATGGGTTCTTTAAAGTCTTTTTCGGAGCATTGCAAATTTTTTTACAAAATCCATACATACACCCATCCATTGTTAGTGGGCATAAAAATGCTAAAGTGGCCTTGTCCATCTCACCTGAGGAGAAGTCTGTCCAGCAGTCTTCTCAGCATACCCTCATTTGATGGAACATGGTTTTTTGCCTAAACGTTTTCGTTTAAAATACAATAACTTACATCTTATTCGTTGTATTTGGGCTTACATACATTATTATTTTAGCACTCGTTCATTATGTACGTCATATCGCACGTAAACATTACTTTATTGTTGTATTAAGTTTATCATTTTGATTGGTAGTTAATTAGAATTTTACTAAATCAATTAAAACAACAGCTGCAACGATTTGTTGCTGAAGTTTAAAAACATTTTATTTTACAATTTTCTTAACAGCATTATCGTCGAGAAATCTCTATCCTTCAATACTCTACACAACAACGTCTTATATTATTCTTCAAAAAATCCGAAAAATTATGCAATGTCTCCGAATCATGCTTTAAATTCGAGCTTTTAAATCGGTTCAGGTCCAAAAAATGGATCCATATAGTCTAATATTGTGACGATTAACTTGTATCCCACATTATTAATATAGATCCGCTTTTATGATAAGATATAAGAACTTTGTGCCATGTAATGGCTTACTTAGTGCGTTACAGCCCCCATATATGGTGAATGGTGCAAAAAATAGATCTACAAAGTGCAAATTTAGTGCATTTAAGTTTTATATCAAATTACTACTGTGGACAAATTTTCCACATAAAATATCCAAAATTGCATCTTTTTAGCGTATAAAGGCTTACCTACCAAAAAAAAAAAGTTTGTATGGGCGGGGAATAAAAAAAAAAAAGTTGGTCTAGTCGATTCAAATTTTTCACTACCTAAGGCATTTGATCCAGAAATTTTCAATCGCATAAATTATCTTTCGTATAACGGCACCTACATAATATACACAATATATGCGATGTGATCGTAAAAATATTTTCCGATTCTAATTTCCATTCTTAATATTGTTTTTGTTTGGATTACAACAACATCTCATCGCTCAAGAATTGTCATCTATACGGACAGAGGGACAGACAAGTTTAAATCAATTCAGAAATTCAGATCAGAAAAAACTTCCATATCAACTTCTTCAGGGTGTCACATAAATCCGTACAAGCTTAACATACTTTGTACCATAAGTTGTTTTAGGTATAAGCAACAAAACGAAAAAGTAAATAAATAAAGTATATACTGAACTAATTGTCTTAATACATCTGCTGGACATGCATATACCTATATGCTTATATATATATGTAGGCTTTCAAATAGAGTAAACATTTGTAAGCTTTTATATATGTGTATGTTAGGTGAGCACAAACAATCAGCCAAATAGCGAAATAGGTGTAAAAAATAGAAGAAGAGCAAAACAATAAGCGCTCTTCTAAGTCAAGTGATATACAATTTAAGTATAAGATATGCATGCACATATAACTATACAATTTAACATCCACCTACTACACTACTATGGTTATGTGAACAATCGATCCAATCACGTAGGAATAAATGTTTATAATATGCGATGCGCACATATAACATGTATTATTATTATTATTATTATAATTATTACTATTATTATTATTATTATTATTATTATTACTATTGCCGTCATTTAAGCACTATTTTAAGTTGGTTGTCTAATATATCTGCATATTTTCTAGGTAGATATTTTTATAATATAATTATGAACAATACACACAAATAAGCATTGTCCTTACAATGTATAATCTATGCATGGTTTACGTAACACGATTCGATGATATATTAATTTTAGGCAGACACTTGTAATCATTTAAGAAAATCGTAATTAATTCCTCATAATACAAGCCTGATAGTGATCGTAATAGATTAGTGAAAGTAAGGCATAGGCGCTCGAACTCCAAATAGCCGGCTATCCCTCTTTCTATTAACGTTTGCAAAATCCTCAAAGTCATAGTACGCATAAGATGATTCGCTTAAGAATTCTCTCTCTCTCTCTAAATATCTAAAGCAATATAGTAAATCAAAAAAAAAAAAAAAAATTAAAATGAAAATATTTTGATCGTAATATAAAACTAACTGAAAGAAATTCTTAATATTTCTTATTCTAATTTCTTTAAGAATTGAATATTTACATTAAAAGACTTTGATCCCCTACATACATTAGAATGCAATAGATCCGTTAAAATGTCAAGTCAACTAAATGCAAGCGGCTTTGGACGCTTTGCATGTTGGGCAATCAAGATTCGTTGTTTCTACTATTTTATAAGCTTTCCAGATTTCACGTGTGTTTGGCCATTTGTTTAAGGAATAATTTTGATTTACATGCAGTGCTGTCGTCTTTGGTGATCTTGGTGTATATTTCTTTTACAACTATTGCTATTAAATACTTACCGCCAGGAGATTTTATTGACGCCGTTGCTGTCACTAATGTATAGCCGCCGCCGCCACCACTGGTACGTGTTGTTGTCCACTGCAATAGCGCAATTATAAATGCAACTGCGCGTAATCGCCAACTGAAACTGAAATTATAATCGAAACAGAAGAAAAAAAAAAAGAGATGTAATTATTAATTATATATTTTTTGTTTTCTTTTTTTATTTATTTATTTATTTTTTTTTTTGCTTTTTTCCTCTATACTTATAGCTATTGTTTACATTTGATTACAATTTTAATGAAGACAACAATATTATTATTATTAAGTACATATGTAAACACATAGGGGAAACTATCATATATCACGTATCTACACACATTCGAATTTCTCGTCAGTCATAAAGTTAGACCAAACGTTAAGTTAGCCTTAACGCGAATCACGGATACTCCGACACTAATATTCGGAATATTTATTAATAAAATAAATATATTAGGGAACAAAAAATTAAAACGTTCTACTCGAGTTACATCGACTATTAAATCATCTATGTCATTTTGTCTAATACTCTTTGTCTAAAAATTACACTTTCCTGCCGTATAAAGTCTTATTTTCCGTGATAACTCTCGTATGAGATGGGATCGAAAAAATTGGATGAATTTTCTTAATAAAATTAAACAAATTAACATATGCGATCAGAAAAAGGCTTAATTTAGTGCGATTGGATGTAACACGCAGAAGGGCTTAAGATGGACCCAACAAAATCATAATCTCAATTGATCTAAGCCTCTCTGTCTGTCCGTCTGATTTCTCCCCACATACATTTTTGTACAGATCGCCATTCTTAAAATATTTCGATGAATATTTTTGAGATCCTGCCATAGGACAGTATTAAGATTGTACTACACTAGATTGCGTTTCGGGCCCGCTTCCCCATAAATACGCACTTGAAAAATATGCCTTTGTATAGGAACATATAATGGATATAAATTTGATGTTCTATAATAGAATTAAGAATTATGTTAGACAATGTGATTTAGGGTATTTAGAGGCCGGCCGTACTTGATCGTTTTTTTATAACAAACTTTTGATGGGAGATGAAACATGAGAGAGAAAACAAATATGTCACATTCATTTAATATATGTCTACATATTACTCTTAAGCGATTTTTATTGCGACACTTTTTCAATGAAACATTGCATGTTCCAATTTTATCGAAATATCGCCACAATCACGTACTGCGAGTTGAACACAGTACATATGAACATGTAGAAAAAACGATTTAAATGGATTCCGAAACGAATATGTAAATCGATCGGTCTAATATAAAATGCAAAATCTGCCTCATGTGCTTGCACGTGTTGCATACAATCGCCTAAATTTAATATACCCTTACCACACGTAATGTCCGATGTAAAAATCTTTCAGTTGAATGAACTAAATAGTGTTTTAAGTTAATTGAATTAATTAAAACATTTAAATATTTAATCAGTTAAAATCTGAATTTTAATAAAACAAAAAAAAATATAAAACATTATATTTGTTGATTTAATTATTAATGCATGAGAAGAAGAAATGATACCAGAAATTTATATTTTTCCCTTTTCAATATTTGCTATTTAAAATAAATAAATGAAACTAGCTTCTCGTTTTTCATTAGTATAATCGTAAATTGATCGCATTCATACTATATATTTATACGCTACATCCTTTCATGCACGAGGATATATTAAACTTGAGCGGCCGGTTGTAACATCCGAAAGGATTTCTGAGATAATAGACTCATCTTTTTTTATGCCGAATTTTCTGAATTGATATTGTCGCTCTGCCTTCGTTCGTACAGACATGTCCGATGTCGGCCCATGTATACTTATGTTCAACCTATTGGTTGCAATTTTCGGCATATATTTTGATGAAATTTGCCACACTGTTGTGTTTTGGATTGGATCACTTTTTTGGGCAATCCCCTTATGAAGTCTTCTTTTAAATAAATAAATCGTTATAAGAAAAAATATTGCAAATTTTTCGAATTTCTAAACTGGTGTGACAATTTTCGATTGGACGAAGCAATTGTTTGAAAACTTGTCATACAATGTTTTCGGCGAACACTTAATCTTTATACGTTACAAAGGATTAATTTTCAATAATTCTTCATGAAAATTCGTTTCTAATAATAGTTCCACATAAAAATGAACTTTACAGAATTTGGACTAGATAGGCCTGTGTTTTGAATTCCAATCCATATAAGGGTTGAAAGGGGAAATATAAGACTTTATGTGCCAGAAAGGTCTAATATTTATTATTATATTAGGTTGAAAATTTATCCTCAATAAATCAACCATGGCGAATTTTGATCATATAGATCTATTGTTTATACCGCATCGTATATAGGAGCTTTCATGAAAGCAAACACTTCCATGGCGAGAAAGCCTAATTTGTGGTTTGCTACGATGGAAGAGCTCCCGGAAAATTAAAAATCTCTGACAAGCAAATTTGGTTTGCTAAAATTCGATCAACATAAAGGCGTTCATGAAAACTATCCACTTCCATCAAAATAATTTGGTGTACAATTAATATTAAGCAAAGTCGTGTAGGTTATCTAAGGGTCGGCCTTGCCCGACTACTTTGTTTTACTTGACTTTATATATCTATATAATAAAAATTCTTACTATTTGCAGCAGACGGATTAGGAGTGTATATATTTAACATATGTTACGATTGGAATGAAAAATTATTTCGCTATTTTTCATTATCGAATTTGTAAAAATCTATGCAAAGATTATGGGGAATTTTTTTATTCACGTTACATTCATTGATTACATGATTGACGCATTGCTCAATCTGGTTAATCCATACTATAGCTGAAATTTTTGTTTTCGATCATTGGGCAGAAATACAAGAAAGGCTTCTCTGAGCAGATGAAAAGTTTCAATGCACGAAAAGTTTTTAATAAACTTGGCACAACGTTCTTTATTGGTTTTTCGCTTCTTTTCTTTTCTTCTCCTTTCTTTTTTTCCTTTTCTTTTCTTTTCTTTTCTTTTCTTTTCTTCTCCGTTCTTTTTTTCCTTTTCTTTTCTTTTCTGTTCTTCTCCTCTTTTCTTTCCTTTTCTTTTCTATTCTCTTCTGTTCTATTATTTTTTGCCTCCTATCTGCTCTTCTTTTCTCCTGTATCCTGTTTCTTTCTTTTCTTTTCTCTTCTTTTGTTTTCTTTTCTCTTCTTTTTTCTTCTTTTATGTTCTATTCTTTTTTTTTTTCCTCCTATCTGCTTTTCTTTTCTTTTATATCCCGTTTCTTTCGTTTCTTTTCTTCTTTTCTACACATTCTTTCTGGTCCCATTCCCTTACTTTTCTCGTTTCTTGGCACCAAATTCTTCGCTGTTCTTTCTCATCTTTTCTTCCCTTTTTTTTTTTGCCTTTCTTATCTTTTATTGCCTTCTCTCGTCTTTTGGCACGCTTTCTTATATTCCGTTTCTTGTTTTCGTTTCTTTTTTTTTTTTCATCTTTCTTCTGTATTGATCTGCTCTCTCTCATTCTCTCCGTCTGCTCCGTTTTAGTCTCTTATCTTTCTTTTCTACACATTCCTTCTCGTCTTAATCCCCTACTTCTTATTTTTTTTCTCATCTTTATATATCTTCCTTTCCAATTTTAGCTGTTTTCCTTTACTTTGTTTGCTTGTCTTTACTTACATATAAAGTATATAAGAGATTAATTAATTAATCTGAATAGCTCATGCAATAAATAAGCTATAAACTTAACTTAACTATGTATCATTAACAGTTGTGAATACGAAAAAATTCCTTTATAATTTTAAATGGAATATTAGAATTTCCAAAAAATCCGGTTGTGGTTTTCATATTTCACATCAGACATTTGTAACTATCAATAATAGTTGTAACACAAGTCCGGTCTCTCTCTGATTGATTTCCCATTTTATATATAATTGCATTGCACTTTGTACATATTGAAAGCATATTTCAATGAAATTGAACGTTTAATAATCGTTCGTATCGAGAACCATTTCATTAGAAATTGAAGAAGACAAGATAGAAACATTTTTAGCAAAATTTTTACCAAATACCTAATAAATAATCTTTTTTTTGAATATTTTTTGTTTTTTTTTTTTCTTAACAATAAAGTTTATTAAAATATATATAAAAAAAAAAAAAAAAAAACAAAAAAAATTCATTACAAATAATGTGAGGTACTCGTACAGTCGGGCAGTATCCATCCATTCTTTACTTGAGTAATAATTGTTTTCATTTCCACAGCGATAAATAATATTAATCGCAATTGCGTAAAGAAATCAGTTTTAATAAAATTTTATATATAAATGCATTTTCAATACGGCAGCACGGAACGGTCAAACGAAAACCACAAGATATTATTTTTGAAATTATTGAATAATCGAAAAAAAATTACAACTCTTTTCTTTTATTCGATAGATGGATGGATTTTGTTCAATGTTTTGTGTCCGGTCTCTTCTACATTCTATTCATTATTATCAATCACATATATTAGCATGCATATTAGCTAAGGGATCGATAATAATTTGGAGATTTTTTGCGACAACAAATTTTCAAAGAAATTCAGATAATTATCTATATTGAGTGTGTCTTCTGCCCGTCGTATCGACTGTCTTTTCTCTGTGCACTTTTGTTCTATGCGTATATGTATGTATGTTTGCGGTTGCTTTCAATGATAAATAATAAACACTGCGCACTTATATACTGGGAAATCAAAAACGAATTCTTTCTTCATATTAAAAAATATAAGGAAAAATTATTTTTTTATTAAAAAAAAAAAACAAAAACACAAACCAAGAAAATTATACTCAGTCGTGACAGAATCTTTTAAATACTCATCATTGTTATCTTAAAAAAAGACAAAGAAAAGCGGTAAACGAACTAAATTTTCATGCTCGACAATATGAAGTGGGTGCGGTTGTTGTATTTTTTTTTTTTTTTTTACTCTCAAAATAGAATTTTTACCATAGATACCAAACAGTTGCGCAGACGGACACATGGACCGATGAACCTTGAAACCGGCCAAGAATTTAGATAGTTTATGAGGTTTTTGAATCCTTCTATGACGCGTTATAAAAGTTTTGAAAAAAGAAATGAAACTATGATATTCTACAAAATGAAGTAG